CCAAAAGATAAATCTCACACCAACCGAATAATTTCAAAGATGCCATGATGACACAAAAAAAAATACAAGTAACGACTGTAAAACTAGAACCTGTTTTATCACTTAGCACTCAGTAAAATGTTAACATCAGCAGCAGGGGGCAGGTGAATTTTATTGTCTATGCACTCATCACTTCAGGGGGCAAAGTTGGCGAATCTCCCGAAAACCTGTTGCTCTCCTTTGAGGGAATTGACCTCATGGCCACCTTCACTAAGTGCTGTGGAGCACATGAGCTCCTTGACTCGGACCTGTCAGGAAGTGTTGTGAAGAATGTTACCGAGAGGGAAGAGTGCGAATTGATTGCCCTCCGACTGCTGCCAAAGCGCGCTCAGTGTGCCATCCTGTTTTGAGAACGTGTGTGTTTCGGGCCTGTCATGCCCCCTATATGTGGAGATAGGGGGGGACATGGCTAATTAAACGGAGTAAAGGCTGTTGAAAGGGGCTGGACACTGCCAGCACGAGAGGACTTGACATCCATGTGTTCTTGTTTCGAGACAGAGAGGGGGCAAGCGTGACCGAAGCAGGAGGCCCAGGTTGCAGCACCCCGCCTGGCTGCCAGAGCTCAGTCATAGGGCAAGGAATTGTGGGGAAGAGGAGGAGGTGGTAAACGGTAATGGAGGAGGGTGGTGTTAATATTAACTGCAATTCCAGACTTTCTACTAGCAGTCTCTCCTTTTTTTTTCTCCATTTCCCCAGCCAGCCCAGAGCTCTAAACCCTAACACCCTATCCCACTGCTGCACACACACAACACACATTCCAAGAGGCAGGGATGGGAGCGTGACAATCGGGAAACAACGGCTATTAGTTACAGAAAATGCATTATGGCGTGGGCCCGGGCAGCAGAGCGGAGGAGAGGAAGTGGAGGGATTACGCCGGGCTTGGACAAGCGCAGCACAGCGCTATTTCCTCCCCCTTGCTGTAGTAAACTGTTCAGATTTACAAGACCTCTAGGGACACGGGTACCCCATCCTCGTCCCATCAAACCTAGACAGCTCCTGATTTAAAAATAATCCTAAATCAGCGCATGACAGTTGTCAGCAGGGCACAAGGAGGTCAGGAGGAGTGAAGACTGGGAGTTTTAGATAAGAGATAAACCTTCTGCAAATTCAAAGATCCAACCAGTATACTGCAAAGTGCCCAATTATTGGCTTAAATATGACACTACACATTTATTGATTTGCTGAGCTTTGAATCTAAAACCATGTGTGTAACCAACATGTTTTATAAATTCTTAGGCGGTATAAACATTGTTCTAGTGATGGATTTTGATTTACGGCAGGTCACTTATGAGTCCACTTTCCATGAGCGAACAACAACTTTGTTCTACCTATTTTTGGAATTAACAGGTTCATGGAAATTAGGTGTTTTCAAAAACCTATTCAACTCTTCTCCACCTGGTTTGTATTAGTCATCGATAATGAAGTTTTAAGAGCCCATGGCCTCTTTATTTGTTAAAAATAGTAAATATAAGACGGGTTGATAGCTCATTGTTACTGTTCTCAACTCATACAGCATATTCAACCTGCAAGTACAGTGCTTCGTTTGAGTCAGGTCTTATTTTCATATTTTTCTTCATCATTTCTATTGTGACGGTAGGATTTTTGAAAACAAGTTATTGTTAAGTTCATGGAAAGAGGCAGTAACATTTACAAGTCTGGCAGTGGAAGTAAGAAGTGTGTAGGGCATGCACATCCCAAAAGCTTCAACATATGAGATCCAACAACAAACTGAAGGGAAGTATCAGACAAAATATCTGCAAACTGTACTGAAAGCTCCCAGCCAGAGCTTCATTTTGATGTAACTGGCATCTTTGTCAGGCATTGTCAAAACATAATTTAGAAAATTGAAATGCCTGAAAAATATCCAAATTCGACGATCATACATATCCCGAGGTTAGCCAAAGTTATTTGGAAGAAAATACAGGCAAAGCAGCAAAGTATTGTCATCACAGACTACAGAATTTTTTATTATACCTCACTTGCCAATATCTTTCTTCTCAAATTGAGGATTATTACTGAAATTTTGGGTGCAATCTGTAAGGTTTACCTCTGAATAAAGGAGTTTGGATTTACAACCTGTTTGACTCAGGGACTGTTCATGTTCATGTTCTAGCAATGGGCCAGAATTCCCAGACAGCAAGTTCAATGCTGTCATAACATGTAGAGAACATCTTTTAAAGTAGGACAGCTTGCAATAAATCATCATTACCTATGAAGGGGCCAGAAGCCTAACAAAAGGTTGGGAGGCTTCAAAATATCATGAAATCCCTACAAACCGCATGGAGCCCCAAGTCTGTCTCTTCTTCTATCTGACAGTGAACATATTTCTCCCTGTAGTATTCTTAGCAGTAAATAATAGCACTTCCCTATCTCTCCTTTTCCAGCTACTGCTCCGTTGATGTATGCTATTTTACTGTGGCAGCATCACTTCAAACCGGATGCGATCGGGCTGCCTCTCCTGTGATCACTGCAGGCCTCGGAAGACCCCTTCAACAGAAACAGGAAGCAGTTCATAGCGCGGGTCATGACCCCTCTCATTCAGCCCAATGAGTCAAGCAGGGCCCACCCCGGCGAAACACATGAAAGTTCCGGTCCCATCAACAAGGTGTGGAAGGATATTAGGGGGTGAAGAGGGAGGGGAGACTTCTGTCTCTGTCTGCATGCACAAGTGTATGCATGTGTGTGTCTAAAGAAGAGAGGTGCACATATGTCCAGCAGTAGCCGTGTAACATTATTACACACAAGGCCCATGAGGCGCACCTACACAACTACAGCTGCATCTAATACAAGGCTGCATCCACAGGAGGAAACTACTGTGTGATGAACAAATATAAACGGTCCCTTTGGACTTCTGATCACAGGCGCTGGGGCGTAATAAAGGCTATAACTTCAGGGCGGACAGGCATGCAAGTGTGTCTCCAGCTTTCCCCAATGGGTTAGCTGCTATCTTAAAACTTGAAGACCATTTTTTGCAGTATTTCCTTTTAGAGTGACAGATTTCTCTACTTTAAAATAAGGTGTTCGTTTTTGATGATGTGTAGAAAGATATTATAGAGCGCAACTTGAAAGCCTGTGTCTGAAATAACACATACTGTAGTTTACTGTTTAAGTGAACATTACATTGAAATATGGTTACTTTTGGATCATCAGCATTTTGGCCATTTACTGTGGTAATTGAGTTCTTGCAGCTAATTAATGTAAAAGATTATATTGAATTTTTGACTCAAATAAAGATAGGATAAGATGCTTTATTTTACATTATGGTAAAGAATAAAGGTTAAAAAAGTAAATATAAAACATAATATATAAAAATTATAAATATTATAATAATTAAACATACAATTATAAAAACACGTAAATAAATGATAAATACATTAGGTACAGGAAAATCAGTGCACTATAAAGAAAATAGGAAATGCTTTTAGAAATAGCTCGATTCAAATGCTTTGATGCAACTTAACTCCATGTGATTAAATAACACAACTATTTTTAAACATGCAACATACTGTAACATGAAGACTATCGCATGTAACATGTCTAGGACTTATTTAAAAACGTCATACATGATGTGTGTAGCGAGGTAATATGATTCAAGGCAAGTCCCTGAAGTGTCACAACATGACTGGACTTGCCCTGACTTGTCTGGACGGCGGACAAACAGAGAAGAGGGAAGTAACAATAAATTGAATCAAACTGAATTTAAAGATAATTATGAGGCCAATCTTAATTTACAATGGCTTTGAGTCTATTAGACAAACAAAAAGAGAAAAGCGAAAGAAAAACAAAAAAGAGATTTAAGCACACAAAAGGCAGTTGATTTTTCTTTACTTTGCTGAAAAATTATTTACTGCAAAAAGCTTCACACTGCCAATTCCTGATGTTTATGGAGAGCTGGCAGCCAGTTTAGTCTGTAATGGATGCAGTTTTAAAAGTAGGAGTACACCCCTCCGTCAAAATGTATATAAAATAAAATGTACTCCAACTTTAATGTCCAAGGCACTACAAGTAGGCTACACTTAAAAGCTATTAGCTTCAGGAAGAGGACCACAGAGTTACTATTGTATACTTTCACACTATAAACCCACAAAAATAAGACACTTGTGAGATGATGTGCCAAAGATCTAAACTTCTTTGGCTAAACCAGAGAGCTGATGTCATGGGAGCTCTGTCAATGTTCATGTTAGGCCACATCTGATATTTCACTTTAATGGAGGGGTGTTAATAGTGGAGGGGAAGTAGCCTAGTAGAAACATGGGAGAAAGAAAGGAAAGAGCTTTTGGCTGAACAAAGACTAGCTGTAGTTTTCCGTTCTCTGCACAAATAAATCCCATAAAGGTTTTGACCTCAATAGCTATCATCATCCTTGTTTAAGTTTGCATTATTCACCCTTCCCATATATCTCTATCCCTATCTGGTTTATTAGCAGCCTGAATACAATTGTGAAATCAGTAAGCACAAGCAGCATGGCCATTACTAGAGGTGTCACTATATCGAGAGCCTCTGGGGCTCCTGCTGTGAAGTGTGGTACAGCAACTACATTTAAATAGCTTATTAAATCGCCATTATCAGGAATTATCAGCCTCATAAATGTGGGTCAGAAGGGGCCTGCTATACAAACTAAAACATTTGTATCATCTATTCAAGCGTTTAATCACCAGTGGTTGGATTATCCGAATGTGATGAAAGTCACTACACCACCTTGTACAATTTATTGGCTGCATTAGCTCAAAACTGTTTCATGATCCTAGGTTTAGTTTTAATTGGCCTGTTTTATTTTTGAAAGAGTTCTCACCTTGTCATGGCTGGTTATACTTCCTGTCTCTGTGTGTTTCCTTCCAGTTTTGATTGCCTGCCTTATTAGTTTCACCTGTCCCTCATCCCTTCATTAGATTAGGTGTATTTAGGTCCTAGTTTCCTATTCCGCTCTTGTTTGAACCTTCTATGTGTACATTTCTGTTTTGCCTTGCCTTCACCAAACTGGAAACTAAACAGATGTATTGAAAGTTCCTGTTGTCCTCAGTCTCCTGCACCACTCTTCGTGAAATGCTGTTTTCAGGTAGGATTTAATGGTTACCACTGACCCTATCTAAGATAAAGTCATAGTTTACTAAATATATGGGTTTTTTCAAGTCCCATAAACATCTGAACTTGTATGCTAATGCTTTAATTCTGATAGCACCCAGGACACATTTTCAGTACGACTTGTAAAACAGGCTTTTTTTCATGTTTTAATTAAATATAATCTTTGAACCAAAAAAAGGAATGTTACGTATTAGGTTATGTGTACCTGGGCCTTGATGGTAACACTTGCATCTAAGCTAATAGGTAAGCTAGTTAGCCAGGCATGCTAACAATTGTAGAGCAGCTAAAGACACTGCCTAATGCATTCCTTACACGTTTTCTCTTGTCTATTGGTTTTTGGAAAGGCTAAAAGATTATCACCTTCGAAACTGCTGTATTTAAATGCTGAGTATAAACACAATGGACTAATGTCTAACATTGTTGCATGTTAAGTGATCCAAAGCTTACAAACCTGCTGTGCCTTGTTGTGGTCGCTATAACTATACAATCACTGTGTTCAACTTCATAAGATCCTAATTTATCAATTTTGCATTGCTTTGCTTGTTCTGCATGATATTTTCTGTATAACGATTGTTGGTATTTGAACAAGACTTAAACATACTAACCCTGGGCCTTTTTTTTGTACTCATCAGTCATCAATGGCCTTGAGCACCCTCTTGTTGTTTTTTATCTGGAAAAGTGTTTTACATTTGGTCCTAGCCAGTCTGTTTGTTAACTATGTGACACGGCTGTATATGAACTGGATACTACAGATAGCTGACGACATAATTGGCTTAATTTCAACAAAGTGTATTGAATTAGAATTGCTGACACCACCTTTTTAAGTGAATTTCATAAAAAACGTTGTCACAGTCTCATTTTTTTTATGTTCTGAACTGCTTGCTCAGTAGGTCTGTTCTCTATCTGCTTGACTTTGTATTAGAGTCATGTTAACAAATGAGCTGGCTTTCCACTGTTGAATTTATCCCTTGCCAGTTGTGGTATTTGTCCTTTTGCCAGCTGTTTTCTTTCCTTTAGGTAAATCTCTATAAATCAATGGAAGTTAATCTGCTGAGAAGATTGTGTGCTCTCTCTGGCTATAGGGGCACTCTATCTCCATTGGTTACAGAGCATCCATCAAGTGCTCAATGAAGGAGAAGTGACATCCCGATCCCCTCTAACCCCGTCACCCCAACCCACCCCCTGTACCCCTCCTACTAGCACATTTTCTTCTCAGGATAATGAGGTTTGAAGATCCATTTATTCTGAAGAGATACAGTCCAATCACTTAAAGAAATGTATTGTATCAGTCGTTATCTGTTGTTAAGGTTTACACTCCATATCCGCTTGTCTTTATCTTTATGTCCTCTTGGCCTGGCTGTGAAAAGATTCTTCCTCCAGCGTTGTCTGAAGGGCAGCAGTGTCTCGCTGCATTGGAAAGTCGATCTGATTGCCCTGTCATTCATCATGTAACTTTAACTCCGGGGGGACAGTGAAGTAGAGACTTCTTCTCGGTGATATAAAGCTGGGGCCGAATGGGTGCAAATCATTTTCCTACTCATTGCAGAGAGAGATGGGTTTTGAAATTCCACAAATCTGCCCAGGACTGTCTCCGCCTATATATCTCCTTTGGCACAATGGTTTCAATAACGCCTGCAAGTACACCCCTATAATATGCAGATACCCTCATGATACTACTCTGCAGAGAACTATATCACTGCCTTTCATTTTATTTGTGAAGGAAAGACGGAAGCCATGAGAGTGAAAGGGAAAGCTGTGACCCTTGTGGGGACCAGTCATTTCAGAGTTGTTTGACAAATAGAAGAAGAGACAGAATAACAGAAAGAGGTAGTAGAAAAACAGAAGAAGATCTTACCAAAGTTTTCCTGGGTTTGAACCCCAAATGACCCTCTTGTGTTTACCCAGGTTGCCAAAATCTCCTCCCTTTTTACCCACCATGCCAGTCATTCTTCCTCTGTATACCTACCATTTCCAATGGGAGGAATTTTTGCTGATGAGAAAAATATTTCCTTAACTTGAAATGTTGAAACAGTAAATTACATCCATTAGACGATAAAACCATTCATGCTGTAGTAGGGTTATCTAAGTACAACTTACAAGCTGCATTTGTCAGTTCACAATTTGTTCGTTAAGTAGTGTTGGGGGAATAATTTGCATTCATGTTGTGGTGCTCTGTAAGATCAGTATTCTGGCAAGTACAGTCTCAGCTGCAGTGTTGAGCCATTTTGAAAGTAGGCCAGCAGAGACCACACGGGGAGAGGCAATCAGGGGAAACATGTCCGACAAACACAACCAACAACCAGTGACGTCGCCTTTCATCTGCCTTGATCAAACACTTAGAGAGTGGGAGGAGCCTTGAAGAAAGCGCTGGAATCAGTGAGTCACTGCTTAAGAATCTGTTTCACAGGATTAATTAAAATGTTGAATTCAGGGTGCTAATAGGCCTCTGTTGCAGGGAGTAAAGATGTGCATTCCTTTTGTCAAGAGATGGGTCAAACAGGTCACTCGTGGACAGTGGTGTGTCTAAGGGGGAAAACAGGGGAATCTCTGGTCCAAGATGACTCCATCCCCTCCTATTGTTCATCATCCTGACTTTTTCCTTTCCATTTGAGAAACATGACTCAAACTCAAACATTGGCCCCAAAGGAACTCCTCACTCACAAAGAATGTCCAAATGAGCATGAGGGTCTCAAACATCAGTGCTGCTCCCTTAAAAACAGTCTGAAATTCTCCAAAGAGGCGAAACACACAGACAAAGCTGGCTTGATTTTCAGCCAGCAGCGGAACTGGACTGGTGGGAAACTGAAATAATGTCTAATAGCAGTTTAAAGTTTCAGTTTGTGTTTTGATAATTTGAGTGGGAGCCAGAGGGTGGTTTAGTTCTAATGGGCTGGAGCCATGCTCTGTGATGGGCTCCGGTATGGTTATTAGCTGGGGGGCTTATAGATGAACCCTCGGCAGCGCAAGGTTTCAGCTCCCCGCTGGCGTAAACTGTGGGTGGCAAGGAGATAAAACACAAGGCAGACTCTGCATTGTTTATGCTGCCTGTTTGTGGTCCATGCAGGGGCGTGTGTGCAGCCCTTATGTCTCTACAATGTAGCACAGGGATGCTAAAACCTCCTGAGAATGAGTTGTAATAACACAGCTTTTGTTTAGCCAACACTTTAGAAAATACCGCTTCCAATAGGTTTTTAGAAAAATAAGTCAAATGTTTAGGCCAGAAAAAAAACCATGGATTGCCACTAGATCCACATCAATAAAACCCAATGTGATGATCCACCTGGGGAGACAGGACTAAGTGTTCTCTACTGGAGGTCCATATTTAAGTATGGGGGGTCCCTCTCCACCTGTCCCCCTGCCCCGAGCACCCAGGGTCAGTCACCAGAGAGGTGGTCCCTCTTGGCTACACCCACACCACGAGCCCACCCTATCAACGCTACACAGTGTGAAACAACACATTAACCAGCGGCCTGTCCAAATGTCAGGCAGGACGAGTGCTTGCTTTAAAAACGACCACCACACATCTCAGTTATCTAGCTGTGTGGTCTCCACATGAAGATACGTTGTCAGTTTTTGTTGGTGGGTTGTTGTTGTCACCTGCGTTAAAACATCTGAATCACTGCTTGGTGAAAACAGAGGACATTTTAGAAAAAATCTATTCTGATTGAAGACAGTCAGGAGTTTGTGTTGAGGCAAGATTTAACGAAGGAACTTATGATGTTTTGAGAACATGTTGATTCTGTCCTCTGCTTTATTTTAAGGTTTATTAGAGCCAATGCTTAGCAAACACTCCAGGGGGTATACAATCAATATTTCACAATCAGGTACTGCCAGTTATTTACCAAATTTAGCATCAAGAGGACGCTGCTAATATCATAACAAACCGATAATGGTGGCGTTATGTAGAGAAGAAGCTTGTAGAAGGTAGTTCTTATGTAACATTGAACCGTATAATCAAATTTCAGGCCAACTTTAGAGAAAAACTCCCTAGCTCTACATTGAGAGGACAAAGTTGGTTTTCTCAACTTGTTTCAGGAAGTATTCATAAATTACTTTGTAGATTAGGATTTTTACAAACAAAACATTATGTCTATATAGGATTTTATGTATTCTAAAAGGACAATCTATCGAAGATTACATGGAAAAAAACGTAAATTACCAATCAATAATATAAACAGAATAATGATATATTGATTAAGAGTCCTCTTTTGCTAAGTAAATGCTTCCTTGATGTTTTGAATGCTGCTTGCACTCCTGCAATCTACAGAAGAACAATAATTCAACCTTTTATTTTGCTCACCCAAAAGCCATTTGGGGGAATAAGCTAAAATGCTGTTAAAGTGGCGCGGTATAATTCTACCCAGATTTTTGCTTGTATAACTTTGTATATCTGACAGCAGAAATAGTTTCTTTGGAATTAATGTACGGGCCAAATGGGAATTAAGTGATCCTGTAAAAATAAATTCAACACAGATAGCACTTTCTGGATTTAACGCACTTATATATTGGCATTCGGCTGACACTGACTTTTAGATTGGAATACTAATACAATAGATATATGAACAATGTTTCTTATTTTGGCATTACAAGTTCAATACTGCGGGGGATTAATATTGCGACACTTTGGTATCGTGCAACCCAAACCCTCACTACTGTTCCACACATAAATCTCGCAGAGCGTGACTAACCCGGCGGTAACAGGAGCCGGGGCCGGCAGTCCCCGCGGACCCCGTCCTGCATGTCCGTGTTTTAGAGCGCTCTGCTCTAAGAACCGGCCCTAGAACCTCCCTGGGCCCCTGGAGACCCTGTGAAACAAAACAGTGAGGTCAGCTCTGGGCTCCTATCTCACAGAGAGGATTACACTCACACACACATACACACACAAAGAGCTAAAACCACTGAGACTGAACTTGGATTAAGTCATTAAGGGTTACCATCCCCTTAAACCTCAGCCAGGGACTTTCTCTGTAAAAA